TGTTGTTGTTGTTGTTGTTGTTGCGGCGGTTGCGTCTGCTGCTGCTGTTGCTGCACTTGTGGACCAGCGAACGAGGTCGATGGTGCAGATAACACAGTCGCCATTGGTAGCGAAACTACGCTGGCTATCCCTGACGTGGTTGTCACTGAAACTTGAGAGATAGCAGCACATCAGTACGAGATTTTTTGTTACCTTGCTCCTCTCGATCTTCTTTCGTAGGGCTGATTGCGGATGGTGGCGCCGAGCTGCAGTTCCTATTACGCTCAGCTTCGGGCCACCTGTTCTCAACCTCCTCTTCAACAAGCATCCAGCGAGATGGTGGTGTGTGAGCAGCACGTTCAACGAGAATATTTTCTGAAGGTTAAGTTTAGAGAGGACCACAAAAGCGAAAATTTGTTACCTTGGCCAAACTTTCGGTATGGATTTTCAACTGACTCCTGCACCGGAGGTAAGTGATCGTCGTTTTCTTCGTCGGAGCTCCTACAAAACACCCCTTGCCACTATCCGAATGATCCGCATATCTGAGTTTCTTACCCTCCTCTATCCAGGATCGAGTCCATCTCATCAAACGGAAACCGCTGCTCAACTGTGTCATCGTCTGGACTTGCAATTACAAGCCCATCTTCGTTATCGCTGTCGTTACCATTACCTATAACAGCGAAAATTAGGATTCCATGAGAAGTTTCGTCTGCGATACAAAGGCAGGCTAACCTTGTACAAGACGCCGGCGATGGGTTTTGGAGCTAAGGTGCTTCGTAAAATTACCTTTCGTTTTGAATGAAAAATTGCACTCCTTACACTTGTACGGGCGAATATCAGTATGGGATCTGGAAAAGTTGGATTTCGAAGTGCAAGTCCTACGGGATGAAGTGCCGGAACTAAACTCCTCATCTCTATGTACGTAAAACACGCATGCTCAAAAGTTTCAAAGACAAAATCTTCAATGAAGCTACGACAGACAATTTCAAAAAGATAGCTGAGCACACATCATTTTTCGCATTCTTAAGAAATCTTTGTTCTGCAAACAGACAAACAACGAACTTGATATGTTTGTTCAGCATGCTCGGTTTCTTGCAGCGAATTCCACAACGGTCGCAAACGTAACGTCCTCGACCTCTTCCGCGAACGTATACATATACCTACGAATGGGGACGGTAAAATGCAGCCCTATTGCAGTAGTAAAACCCTTATAACGGACTGGATTCAAAGTAATCTA